CAGTTCTGCTACTAAACGATTCCGGCAAAACACTCTTTAGGTTATGTATTAGCGAACCACCACACAAAATTCGCCCAATCAATGGTCAGTTATTACTGCTGGGCTGAACCGTCATACGCTATATAGCCTATTATATAGCCTAGTCAATATTTTCAGAACGATACTGACTGACGAAACACAACGTATTCGCGGATTCGCACATACGTTGGCACCCAGGTGGCCTGTCAGCAGCCGCACAAATCCGCACAGCGCAGCCGGGATTTGACATTGAGATGGTACACCGTAAAGCATGCCTTTCCACACAGGCACAAGCACAGGGACACAAATTCTCAAAATCCAAACTTATTCCAATACTGGTCAATTACGAATAGGCATAAAGTTTTGAGGTTTTCTCATGTTCATTCTTCTTTCAACACACGCGGCAGACTGCAGCAGCTGCAGAACATCTCACAGAGCTGCGCTGGATGCAGTCATGAGCTGGGACACGGTTTGTGACCAATGACCGATCGGGGGTGCCAGCCTCCTCCCGGCACGCGATGCACTGGCCGCCGCGCAGTCGATGTCGGGGCACCGCCGGCATTCGCCGACAGGGTTCCATCCGATTCGGTGTATTGGTGGCAGCCCGAACAGTGACCCACGCGAAGCTGGCGGACGTCGATGGCCGATGAGCGATGCCCTTCCGCGACCGGCGGTGGCAGTCGGTCCCACATCAAGAACAGATACCAGTCATGCGGTCAGTCGGCGACGGCGCTGTCGCGAGCCGATCTGATGGTCGCGCGGTGGGCGTTGCCGACGTCCACCGGGACCGTCGACTGGGGGAGCGCGGCCGCCTCTTGGCCGCCGCCTCTGGTCGGCGAGCTCGTTGCGCTGTGGGACGGCATCCACTGCAAGTCGTTCACTGTGAAGCGGTCGTTTGACCGGACCTGGCAGGCTGGGAAAGGGGGCCTCAGATGAAGTAAAACCATCCCTCAGGCCAGCTTGAACTGGCTCTCCACCTCACCATGTTAGATAAGCGGACACCCTCGTGATCATCGCAGCGATGATTGCCAATTGGTGTGTCATTATGGGAGAGGATGCCAGCCTCCTTTGCAAGATAGTCTGCCTTTAACATAGTGCAGCCCGACCCATTGCCTGTGGCGCAGACTGGGCTTGATAATGCAGTGCAGGACACACCAAACGTAAGCGGCCATCTGTACCCCCTGTGCAGTAGGGCTGACTCAAGAGCCCAGAGTTGCCCTCCCCCCCACCATTCTGTGCACGTGATAACTGGATGGGACATGCCATGGTCAGCATCTGTTCAAAAGCTGCCCTAAGCATGTAAAGCTCCACTGGCATGCTCAAGCATGGTCACAGTCAGTTCTCACTTCTCAGTTGAACCTCCAATGGAAACCCATCACAAAGTAGAGATCAGGGCGCCTCTCACACTGCAGCACACTCAACGACTGAGGCACCATCTCATCACTTGCAGGTGGTTCTTGCCAGGAGCAATGCCAGCCACGCACATCAGGTGATAACAGCAGTGTACAACTGCAATCTACAAGCATCCATGTTCTTTCTGGTTTTCTCCTGTTGAGATCCACTGCCATGCATGAACTTGATGGGCTTTTGTTGCGCTCCTCCCATGTGCAGACAGGTTTCTGCTGAAACAAAGCAAAGCAAATGTGATTAATAATGGCCCTGTTTCACCATCCAGACACTGTGTGCACTGGTAGCTACGGCATACCATAGCATCACTCAAATGACGTTGCATGTGACCTCTTAGTTTATGATCAATCGCGTTTGGAACAGAGTGAGAGGTTCTGAAAAACCGTACCAAGAACAGAGGTTTGAGTTCAAATACTGCTAGCATGCTGCTGGTGCTGGTACCGCAGCGTGCTAGCGTTCTGGGATGCTGTCATAGCTTAGCGTCACAGTGAAGTTTGTTGACACTGCCATGGAAACCCAATGCTCTGACACACGCAGCGCACTGCAGTGCTGAGCACTGCAGTGCGTGCTCTGCCGTGAAACACCACCCATGAACGTTGGTTGCATGACCAGGATGGAGCAGTGTGGCAGACAGTGATTTCAATTTTAATTGCACTTCCTAGAGATTAAAATGTTGTTGGTGAAATTGCTATTCATTATTCCTATTACCATTGTCTAAATTTCACATTTTGATTTCAAGACAGCATCAGCATTGACATGTTATATAAAATAAGGTTTAGACTTCAGGTGGTCCCGGGTTCAGCTATTAAGTAAAACAAGGGCAAAAAATTGTCAAAAAAATATTTTTAAAAAATACCTGCCTTCATCAACACCTCATCTAATCTAACCTCATCCTCATCTAACAAGGCCCTAATAGCAAAAACCGTTTGAATAACAATGTAATATTTTGCAACCGCTGCACCATTACTGTCACGTACGCTATCCCTAGATTGGTTGCTGGTAAGTAGTGGTTGTCGTCATCAACTCGTCATGCAGCAGCTGATTGGGATGGGCGGGGCCTATTTTTATCCAGGCGATAGAGAGAGCCGAAAACAAAAATAAATAACAAACGCACACCTGTTGGCAGCCAGCCAGCCCAGACAATAACAAAGACCGAAGATACCAATGCGTAAATACAATTTGATTTAGTAGCCTTGCGATAATTCAGTTTGTATATAGCGCGCAACCACTGTCTCATAATTGTCCCTACCAGCCGCTAGACGCACTCAGTCGCACGCACTAAAACACTGCCAATGTCCCATCTAGTCTTTTAATTACCGGGGTTACATGAGCGATCCGTTCCAAATACGCACTACGCTAATGCGCATCAGCTCCCCACAAACGGATCTACGGCACCGGTTACATGAGACTAATTCGTTTTATCTACGTCAAACGGATCTTCTTTGGCTCACCCGGGCTGACTCCTCGACGGCCGGTAATTCGCATCACAAACGGAATAGGATTAGCGTACAGTCATGGCGCAGTTGTGGCATTTACCGGGACGACTGAGCTAAATTTTAAATACTTATATCATTTGATAGGCTCAAAAACATTTTAAATTAACATGAAATCAAAAAATGAAAACAAAGTTTTCTTGTTTTAAGTCAGTGGGCACTGATTCGCCATGCAGCGACAGCAGGGTGGTCAGAAAAAATTATCTATCAAAATATTTCATTCATTTTATTTCACATGCAAAGACTAAACCAAAATACCAACATTTTTTTCCTATTTTCTACGAGGCAGCCAATAAAAAAAATTGTTAGGTATTTTGCATTTTGACGCTTCCAGTCAGCAAAGAATAGTTCTTGTGAAATACGGCCCGAATCGTGTGCCTCGGACGTTTCGGTTACATGAGCGATCCGTTCCAAATACGCACTACGCTAATTCGCATCAGCTCCCCAAGAACGCATTCAGTGCACCGACTACATGAGCAAATTCGTATCAGTGACGTCAAACGGATCTAGTTTGGCTCTCGGCCCGATGCGCATTACAAACGGAATAGCATACAAATGTGGCGCACTTCCGTAGCAATAGAGGTGACTATATTAAAAATTTATTATCTTATGTCTTTTTTGCATTTAATCTGCTCAAAACATTCTCAATTAACTTAACAAAAAAAAGTTGAACATAAAGTTGTCTTGCTTTGACTCATTGGGCAATTGCCTCTCTTGATTCGTCTGTAGTGCTGTCAGAAAAATGTTTCAACTGAAATTATGTGGATATTTACTATTTGGTTTTCACTATATTTATTGTTGAAAACTTGGCAAAATACCGACATATTTTTTTAATATTATTTCAAAAGAAGAAAATGAAAAAAATACCTATTATTTTGCATTTTAATGTTTCTTTTTGCGAAGAAATAGTTCCTGTAATACGTATCTTGGTCCTATTCGCTTCTAAGCCTCTTTCTCAGCGGATTTTGTTCGGACCGCCGATTCGTATTAGCAGGTGGATACATGAGTCGGTAGTACGCTCCTGATTCGCATTAGCGGTGAATCCGATCGTGATACGTATTTGCTTTGCTCATGTAACCGCGGATCGGATCGCCGATTCGTACTAGCAGGTGGCTACATGAGTCGGTAATGCGTTCCTAATTCGAATTAGCGGCTAAATACGTATTTACTGTGCTCATGTAACCCCGATAAATATCTATGGTTACGACCATACGACGTACGGGAATGAGTTATCAGCTGTCTAATCGTAGACAACACAATTAAACTGTAAGCCTGTATTGGTATTGTTTCTTTTATTTGGCTGTCGAACATTATTTATGGTTTGAAATATGATTTTATGTAAAATAATTGATATGAAAAAGCCGTCTCATAAGTTATGACCCCATTTCACCACACGCAAGTGGCAGAAATGACAATGATCAGCTGACGCATTTTTCCTGGCCGAAGTCAGAGTGCGCGGCCCGACGCACCACGCGTATTTGGAAATTCCGACCTCGTCGAGCATCAGAAGCCACCTAACAGGCGTGTTCGAAACCGCAGGAGATGATGATGAACGGGTTTATCGAAACTTGATTGGATGAGCCTATCGGTAATAGCGATTTTAGCGTGTGCATTTATTGTTCATAGTGGTGTGAAATGTGGTTGGGGTACGACCGACAACCCGTCGGGGCGAATTTCGCACTGGGGTACTCAAAATTTGAAGAATTTAAGACGTTTCCATGAGTTTTGAAGGTATGGATAAGTTCTAAAAATCCGGTTCTCCTTATCCGGGTCATTAACTCCATATGGTCCAAGAAAGCTGGCACACTACCTTTAAAGGAAATGGCGCAGGCAAAAGAAAAAACAGCCAGAAAAAAATGTAGCAAAGCAAGCCTCTCTCAAAATTTCAATGTTCTTGACAAATACAGCCCAACCCCTGAAAATAATGCAGCCATTTATGTGGGCAACATATCGGATTGTTACTTTAAAATTATCGTACGTCGGCCTAGAGCCACGTTCGAGGAAAACCAAAGATAGTGTCGATAACAAAATATTCAGCTTCCACCAAATGTAGACTTCCATTTAACTGATAAAACGCTGCAACAGTGTTCAACATAATATATTTATGCTTTCGTTCATTTAAACGGACAATTTATAACATTTCAAATCCAAGCATCAAAGACCTAGTCTGAAAACTGCTCGGTCACGATTTCTTAGCTATATCCGAAACTGTTTATTTGACTGAGCTCTAATCGTCTCGGACACTCGCAGTGAACCTGAAGAAAAAAAATATCACCTTCCGAGCAACAAGGCAAAAACGCTTACAACATGACTGACGTCATATAAAACGCGACGTTGCAAACATCACCACGTCACGGAGTTCATCACACCCAGGGAAGGGCGTTCCAAAATGTAACGTCAACTAACTCGAGCAGCGCAGCTCAGTGGAGCTCGAGGTATCGCACAGACGCAATGACGAAGCTCACACACCTTACAAAAACTTGACACCGACAGCAGCTAACATGGTCACTCAATCGAACATCGTTTTATCTATTTCTCCGTTGAGCAATCGAGCTGACACGCCTCAAAAGAAACGCTTTATCAATCATGAACAGGTATCACACAGTGCGTCCTAACTCTGAGGCGAGTCGTCACCGGTGCGGCGGCGGCGGCTGCAGGCAGAGCCACCTATCGGTGACCGGCTGAGTCGGACTGGGCGTGGCCGTGCTGAAGCTGACCTGGGCCGGGTCACAGAACGGCACGTGCCACCGGCCGGCCGGGTCACACTGCGCCTGCACAGAGTGTACGATCGGCATCTGGAGAGAAGAGACAATAAGAGTTCGTCAGTGATCATAACAGGCAGGCGAGAAGTATAGCAACAGCAAATACTCGGTCTTTCAATCAGTCAGAGCAGCATACCATAAACAACACCTACGCCTGCTGGCTCTTCTGCTCACCTTGATGTTGAGGTTTCCGTTGCGCGTGACGCCCTCCACAGCCAGCCGGTTGGTGCGGATCAGCCGGTTGAACTTGGAGCGCGTCTCGTCGGGCAGCCGGGCGGCGTGGTCTCGGAAGAAGTCGCGCGTCACAAACTGCGTGCCAGGGTGAGAGTGCATCACGGCGTACAGAAGAAACGCATCGTCCGAAGACCTGTGACACGGCGAGGAGAAGTCGGGTCACTCAGGACAGCGCCATCAGTGACAGAAATAATAAAATAAACATAGACATAATCACATTTCACGTGAATGTATCTTATGCCAATTAGCCGACAACACAGAAACCGACATATGGGCAAAAATGAATAACAAGTTTGGCACATGGATACGTGAATGATTTCACGTCATATGGATACGTTTTTAACAAAGCCCCTCATCATCAAGATGCATTGACAGTAGACTTTGCTCTTCTATGGTTGCCAACAAGCATCATCGCAACAGTAAGCCCAGCACCAGTTCAAACGCTGTGGCTACGTATCGCGATTCGCACCAACACATAATCTATTGACCATACAACTCACATGTTGTCGGCGGTGAAGAGAAGGGCGTGCCTCTTGACGTAGCCCATGTCGGCCTTCTTCCAGCCACGCATGTGGTACCGGCCGACCACGAGTACCTTCTTACCCTGCTGCACGGCGAAATGATCCACCACCTGCACCAGCTGAAAACGGAAAAATATACACAGTTAGACTGTTACAACCGCGGTACGGAAGAAGCTGTGCCCAAATTCACACCTAACCCGTACCAGTCAGAAAGCAGGACAGCCAAACAGCCAAAGAATTACACTGCTTGACCACCATAAGAGGTAGTATAGAAGCAATGCATAGGTATAGTATAATATAAGACTTAACAATGCATTTGACTTGTAATATCCGCAAGACTTTTTTAGTGGAAACCGAATAAGAAAAACATTTACAACTACAGGAATGAAGAGCCGACATCACGCTATATGTGACACGTCGACAGCTGAAGAACGCCGTGAATAAAAGTCATACATGACTGGCGCCACCTATGTTGGGCCGCACCGCTGTTCCCGGCCATCTCTGTGCCCGTCCCGTGCCACTCACCGCAGCTGAGAGGGGAGCGCCGCCCCGGACGCCGGCGGTCGCCAAGCCCACATTCAGGCCGTCCACCACCACGTCATAGGGCGCCGTGCGCTCCACGAAGCTCCTGAAGCGCTCCACCTCCTCAGGAGTGGACGTCTGGAACACGTCCTCGCCGATCAGCACGCGCCGCTCCAGGGCGTCGCGCACCTCGCGGAAATCGGCGACGCTGAGACGGTCGGGCGGGAGGTGCAGCCCGCAGTGCTCGCAGCGACCTCTGACGGCAGCGGGAGACGGCCGGTGAGAAACCGGGGAGGTGATGGCGGTGTTTGGTGGAAGTGATTCTAATGACACTGTTTACAAGATATGGACATCAATGAGCTGTGACGTAGCTCTGCAGAATAACATAGGGGCTTTAATTGCATCATTCCATCTAAGTAACACTTGCCAGGTAAAAGCTTGCCACAAAAAATGACGTAACATTCAGAAAGCGGGTTGAGGTTGAATAAAATCGGTACGTCATAGGTAGGCAATACAAATTTGTAGAAAGGTCAACTGGGCTCAGTCTCAGGCATCACGAGCTACTGGTTGCCTTTTTTACCTTGATATTTAAAGACCTCCCTCGATGGCGCAAAGCTCACCTGCTGGACACCTGGGTGGCCTCGCCGACCCACGGCCGCGCCAGCCGCTGTGTGCACAGGTCCCGCAGTCTCACCACCTGGCCCTCACTCAGTATCACCCCGCTGTCGGAGAGGAACTCCAGCAGCCGGAGCACCATCTGCTCGGCCGACTCGGCCGCCGGTCCGACCTCTGTGCGCCGTTCCCCCGGCCGATCACCGCGGAGCTCCAGCCGCGCCTCAGCGCGCGCCCTCGTCTCACAGCGCTCCAGCCAGGTGTCCAGCGCGTCATCAGTCGGCCGCAACCGGAGGGCAGACAGCTCCTCGAGCACCTCCCAGCCGAGGGCGTCCTCTCCGGCCCGCAGCGCCGCCGCTGCCAGCGCCGAGAGCGCGGTGCGGGGCGGCGGGCCGCTGCGCCGCGCCACAGTCAGCAGTGGCACCGCCAGCCGCCAGTGCCGGGTGGCGCAGAGACCGACCGCGGCCCGTGTGGCGCTCACACGGTCCAGCGGCGCCGCGCTCAGCGCCGCGTGCGCCGCCAGCGTCTCCGGCTCGGCGGCGTCGCGCGCGGCGGCGTCACACGAGGCCAGCAGCTCGAGAAAGAGGGCGAGGTTGGCGGGCGGCACGGTGCCCTGCTCCTGACGGTGTCGGAGCAGGGAGATGGCCGCCGGGAGCGCCACGCCGCCGTCCGGCAGCCGGCAGGCGGCCAGTGCCCGGTGGTCGACAGCGTGGGGACTGGCGGACGGCACGAGGCGCCGGTACTCGGCCACCGCGCGCTCCCAGTCGGCGCCACTCGGCGGCCGCGCCGCTGAGGCAGTGGCGAGCAGCAGCTGCTCGGCGCGCTCCTGCAGCTCACGGCGTGTGTCACGGCGCTCCTTCTGTCTGCTGCGTGCGCTGGGACCAGCTACACTACTCAGCAGGTGACTGAGCTGTGTGGGCCTGGCCGGTCCGACCAGGAACCTGGTCCCAGCAGTCAGCAGTCTCATTGCATGAAGGCTCATAATTGTCAGAGTTTAGAGCTGGACCCGTCTCATGATGTAGGCATAGGTTCAGTGGCTGAAACAGGAAACAGATTCTCAGAGTTAACATGAACTTTACTACGAATGTTATCATGTAGGTACCTAGGATACATTGGTATGGTATTAGTACCGTAAAATGGGGTGTTAAGGGACAGTGAGGTGCTAAGGGACAGTTGCATGGAAAAAAACTTTGAGTCATATTAACTTATTAATTTTAGAAGGTTCAATAAAAACTTCAGTGTGGTAGTTGACACTGTTTTGTTCTTGACCATAGGACAAAATGGTATGGTTCTTCATGCAAGTGATTTGGTTCAAAAATGGATTTGAAAATCATGCTACATTTTCACAAAATTGAAACATCTCCAAAACTCTGTGTGTACCACATAAACTAGTGGGTGTACAGGGAAAATGAATGCATAGGTGTATTGTCACATGTATTGCACATGTTTCCTGAAAAACTTGTGCAAATCCACCCATTCATTCATCATCCTCTTCCTCTTTTCCAGATGCATGCATATTTTGAGGTGGATGTGGGGTGCTTAGGGACAGGGAAGAAAAAATAAAAAATAATATCTAAATATAAGTTCTGTTGTATATTTATGTTGTTGCATGTGCAGGCTGTGGCATGGTGTTGCATGTGCTTTGCATGGTTTATGAGCCTAATGCTTGGTTCCCTGTTTTCCAGCAATGTTGTGAATAAAAGCCTTCATTGAGGTTCATCGTTCATTACAATTTTATTCACAACATAACCTGCATGCTGCATGACTCTGGCAAATCAAGATGGACAAGTATCTCAAGCCCCCAGAACTCAACATTGATCCCAAATCGCCATCTGCTGAAGATGAGTGGGATATGTGGATTACAAAGTTTGGGGATTTCTTCAACTCCATCGATCCGGCCCTAAATCCCAACAAGCTCACGCTTCTTCGGGCTCACATGTCATGTGCATGCTATAAGCTGATCAAGGCGGCCACTACCTTTGATGAGGCTGTCGAGATGCTGGAAGCAAGGTTCGTGAAACCCCACAGTGAGGTCTATGCTCGCCACAGGCTCGCTTCTCGGCGACAGCAGGCTGGGGAATCACTTGACACTTATCTCGAGGAACTGGGGCTCCTGGCATCTCAATGCAAGTTTGAAGCAGCTACAGCTGAAAAAGTAAAGGAGGATGCCATACGTGATGCCTTCATCAATGGCCTGTCATCCAGTGCTATTCGACAGCGTCTTCTGGAGAACCTTCAGCTTGATCTGAAAACAGCTGTTTCTCAGGCTCGTGCTCTGGAGATGGCCCAGCAGCAATCTGAAATGTATCATAGAAACAGCAGTGATTCGTCACCAGTGACAGTGACAGCCCATGCTCAGTCTGATCCTTCTTCTGCGGAGGAGACAGTGCCATCCGCTCGAGGAGGAGAGGAAGTGACTGCAGCAGTTGAACGTACCTGCTTCTTCTGTGGTGGTCCACATCATGCTCGAAACAAGTGTCGTGCACGCAATGCTACCTGTTCAAGCTGTGGTAGGCAGGGGCATTTTGCCTCAGTCTGCCAGATGGGGAGATGGTCCAGAAGAGCACAACCGACCAAGGACCGGAGACAAACCACAGCTTCTATGCCGATACTGTCAGCAATGCATGAAACCTCTCTTCCGAGTCTACGGTCTGCTATGACACGTGTCACAATCAATGGTCAAGAGTTCGAAGCGCTGATCGACACTGGTAGCTCTCAGAGTTTCATCCGTACCCGGGTCGCAGAGGACGTTCACCTGAACATCGAACCCGCACATGGTACTGTGTGCATGGCCTCCACACAGCATCATGTCAAGGTGGCGGGGCAGTGTAGGGTGAGACTACGGGTTCAAGATGAATCATATGATGACTACCTGTTCTCTGTCATGGACGATCTGTGTGCACCTGTGCTACTCGGTCATGACTTTCTCAAGGCACACGAAAGCGTGTCCCTGACGTTCGGTGGCTCTCGATCCTCGCTCAGCCTGTGCTGTCTGACTCCCGCAGTGGTAACGCCACCATCCTTGTTCGGTAACTTGACGGAGGACTGTCACCCTATCCAGGCCAAGTCACGCCGCTACAGCGCCTCCGAAGTGAAGTTCATCGAGGGTGAGGTCGATCGTCTCCTAAAGGAAGGCATCATCTCTCCCAGCACCAGCCCATGGCGTGCTCAAGTTCTTGTGGTTGAATCTCCTAGCGGGAAACGTCGGATGGTTGTGGACTACGCCCAGACCGTCAATCGCTTCACGGAGCTGAATGCTTACCCGCTGCCAAGAATCAACGAACAGGTTGAAAAGATCGCTCAATACTCCTACTTCAGCACGATAGACCTGACCAGTGCCTATCACCAGATCCCCATCGATCCTGAAGATCGCAAGTACACAGCTTTCGAAGCTGATGGAAGACTCTTCGAATTCCTTCGTATCCCGTTCGGGGTCACTAATGGGGTCGCCTGTTTTCAGCAGATCCTCGACGATGTCATCCGAGCTGAGAACCTGCGCGACACATTTGCATACGTCGACGACGTGACCATCTGTGGTCGCACCAGAGAAGAACATGACAGGAACCTGGAGCGCTTCATCGACGCTGCAAAGAAGTTCTCGCTGACGATCAATCAAGAGAAGAGTCAGTATGGCAAGACATCCGTCAGGATCCTGGGGCATGTGGTGGAGAACCGGACGATTCGACCTGATCCAGAGCGACTTCGAGCCTTGATGGAGCTGCCGGTGCCCGAGGACGCGAAGGCACTGAAGCGAGCTGTAGGCATGCTCTCACACTACTCCAAGTGGGTGTCGTCCTTCTCCGAGAAGCTCCGGCCGCTGATCGACGGCGACTGCTTTCCCCTGTCGCCTGACGCGGTCGCGGCGTACCAGCGGTTGAAGGAAGACATCGGTGCTGCTACCATGTCAGCGATTGACGACTACGCTACCTTTGTGGTAGAGACGGACGCGTCTGATAATGCGATCGCAGCCACTCTTACTCAGAACGACAAGCCGGTCGCCTTCTTCTCGCGAACGTTAAACCCATCAGAACGCAAACAGGCATCCGTTGAGAAGGAGGCTGCAGCCATAGTCGAGTCAATTCGAAAGTGGCGGCATCTTCTGATTGGACGCCACTTCAAGCTCATCACAGATCAACGCTCGGTCTCCTTCATGTTCGACCGCGCGAGCAAAGGACGCATCAAGAACGACAAGATACTGCGTTGGCGTCTCGAGCTGGCGTGCATGAGCTTTGAGATCGTGTATCGTCCGGGGAAGTTCAACACAGTTCCCGACATGCTATCCAGGGCTGTCTGTGGCGCAACCACCACGGACACTGAAGATCTCATCCGATCTCTCCATGGACAACTCTGCCACCCTGGTGTAACGCGGTTGTGGCACTACCTCCGGTCGCGGAATGTGGCTTGTTCGGTGGATGATGTAAGGCGAGTCGTAACGCAGTGTAGAACCTGTGCACAGCACAAACCACGATTCGTCCATACCTCTAACACGCTTGTCAAGGCGACTAGGGTGTTTGAGCGATTGAGCGTTGACTTCAAGGGTCCCCTGCCATCAAACACTCAAAGAGCGTACATGTTTGTCGTGGTAGATGAATTCTCCCGCTTCCCGTTCGCTTTTCCTACTGCCGATACGTCTGCGGATTCGGCGATACAGTGTATGATGTCTCTGTTCACTATGTTTGGCACACCAGAGTTTGTACATTCCGATCAGGGCACCGCCTTCACGTCCTCTCGATTTAAGCAGTTTCTCCTACAGAACAGCATCGCCCAGAGCTTCTGTTCGGCATACAACGCCCCAGGCAACGGTCAAACCGAGCGTTACAACGGCATCATCTGGAAGTCTGTGTGCATGGCCTGTCACTCTGACAGCATCGACTTGAAAAACTGGGAAACCGTCCTCCCCCGGGCTCTGCACAGCGTTCGTTCGTTGCTATGCACAGCCACGAACCAGACGCCTCATGAACGATTCTTCAAACATCCTCGAAGGTCAATCAATGGTCAAGCTCTCCCTTCTTGGCTGGTGACATCAGACAGGGTACTGCTCCGTCGGTTCAACCGCGCCAGCAAGTACGAGCCTCTGGTGGATGAGGTCGATCTTCTGCACGTTACTCCCGCGTACGCCAAGGTCCGACTGCCGAGTGGTCGTGAGCCGACTGTCTCTATCCGTCATCTCTCGCCCATGGGAGGTGAGAGCGCTGGGGAGCACTGCCAGATGGGTGATCATCGATCGAGTGACACAGACGTGCCTCCTATTGACTCGCCCTGTGACCCTGTGTGTCCCGCTGAGCGTGGCGACTCGTCTGATGCTGTGTCCGTCTCTGCACCGGATGTTCATGATGTACCTCCCGAGATCTCGCCTGACTGTCCTGATACCACTGTAACGAATTTGGATCGGCCTCTGCGAAGGTCAACCAGGGTGAAGCAGGTGCCTGTTCGATTAATGGACTATCAGATGTGTAAGCCGTGACAGACGAGCGTTTTGACATGGTGTGGTGAGGAGTTTGTCTTTGTGTTAGTGTTGCTGAGCGTAGTTTTGGCACGCTCAGTCTTGAGGGACGGTGAATGTTGTATATTTATTAGGGTGTATCGTCGAATTTTGATTTTTTTTAATCGTCTTCACTACTAAATTTTATTGGTCCCTGGCATGTTTGAAGCCGTAGGATACCAATAAAAAAAAATCTGGAACGAAAACGTAGCCTGCTGCGAGCGGTTGAACGGAAGCCTGTCGGGACGGCGCCAGGCGTTGAAGTCTCTCCGTTAGTTACGCGCACACTAGCACCACGCGGCGGCTGGAGCCGTGCCGCCGCGTTCCCGGTCAGCCGTGTTTTAGCGTTCACTGACGATTCGAGGTGATTATTCTAAGCTTTCCTAAGAAGCCTTCTGCCCCGCAGCTCATTATTGAGCAAGAATATCGCACAAACTGCATAGAATATTGGCATGCAGGTTGTCGGCACATAGGAGAAGGGGATGTTTTGGTTAATGCCTCCTTTAATAGGAAGAGATTGTGGAAGAACAACACATTTCTCTTGGAAATTACTCATCCTCCTTCTTCCTACGTGCCTGCTTTAGTCATCGAAGTACCCCTATTGACTCTACGTTCTTGATTCGGCTGTCGATTGTATGCATGGAATTCCGCTGTATTATATTTTCTCGCTCAATGTCTCCTGAGCTATATTGAGGCGTCACGGGACAGCAATGCTCAGCACACAACTGCAGAGAAAAAATCAATGTGGTCATGCGTTTTGTATGCCAAAATGTGTGAGCCTTGGCGTGTACCAGCAGCCGTTGTCACCATTGTAATTTTCACGACTTTATCTTTATAAGGATGCTATTTCCCACTTCCCAGTTCCCAGACTGGGTTTGGAGATATAGTTTTACAGAAACATTTAGGAATGTCTGTAATGTAAGTTAAAAGCGAATACCGAAAGGAATCCACATATATTCGATTACCTGTTTGCTGTATTGCTTAGTAAATGCCAGACGTCATGATGGCAATGGTTGCGATTGATGGTATGCCGGATGGCCTGGGTACGAACTCACGGTAAGTCAGCTTGGCCAGCAGGCATCAACAGGCACAATTATAGTCTTACACTGATGTCGTCACCCTCAGTTATTCGTCACCATTCAGCAACAAGCCCAGAGCTTCGGGCTTTGAACCATAAGGTACAGGTGTAGGAGCAAGACATTGCGCCGATTCGAAGGGCTGCAAGGGCATCAGTGCAGGGGCTGGAATGCGCCTGAGCGGCTGAGACCATCCCATTGGGACGGGGGTGTTCTGGGTGCACCCAGCCGCTCATGCTGGGAAATGCATCCAATGGAGCTCTCCCCCCATCCCCCCGTTTCGAATGATTAGGGTGACCTTTAGTCTAGAACAAGGAAGGGTGACTGTTGGCTGGTCCCGAGGATAGATAGAAAGGACAGGTAATGACGTCATATAATGAATCGAAGACGGCCCCGGTCCAATCCTCTGATAGAGGTTCATCAACACGTATCTCGTTGTGGACCGTTTCGTTTTCCTCCACCGTAGTTTTTGCACCGACCTGAACGGGTTGGAAGATAACATGTTCAGAAACCATTAAGATCGTAATTGTATATTCGTTGTATATTTGTTCACTGAACAGGTAGAACAGGTTCAATGCACAGTGAAAACCTCATCCTATCATCCAATAATCATAAAGTAGTCTTCATGGAATGGAAAGGCTAACCTAACTCAACGAATATACAATTACGACCTTAATGGTTTCTGAACATCGTAATCTTCCAACCCGTTGAGGTCGGTGCAAAAACCACGGTGGAGGAAAACGAAATGGTCCACAACGAGATACGTGTTGATGAGCCTCCATCAGAGGATCGGGCCGGCGCCGTCTTCGATTCATTATATGATGTCATTACCTGTCCTTTCTATCCTCGGGACTAGCCAACCATTATCCTTCTTTGTTCTAGACTAAAGGTTAGCCTAATCATTCGAAACGGGTGGGGATGGGGGTAGAGCTCCATTGGATGCATTTACCAGCATGAGCGGCTGGGTGCACCCAGAACATCCCCGTCCCAATGGGATGGTCTCAGCCGCTCAGGCGCATTCCAGCCCCCGCGATGCTGCCCTTCCAGCCCTTCGAATCGGCGCAATGTCTTGCTCCTACACCTGTACCTTACGGTTCAAAGCCCGAAGCTCTGGGCCTGCTGCTGAATGGTGACGAATAACTGAGGGTGACGATATCAGTGTAAGACTATTGTGCCTGTTGATGCCTGCTGGCCAAGCTGACTTACCGTGAGTTCGTACCCTGGCCATCCGGCATACCATCAATCGCAACCATTGCCATCATGACGTCTGACATTTACTAAGCAATACAGCAAACAGGAAATCGAAAATATGTGGATTCCTTTCGGTATTCGCTTCTAACTTTCATTACAGACATTCCTAAATGTTTCTGTAAAACTATATCTCCAAACCCAGTCTGGGAACTGGGAAGTGGGAAATTGCATCCTTATAAAAGTAAAGTCGTGAAAATTACAATGGTGACAACGGCTGCTGGTACACGCCAAGGCTCACACATTTTGGCATACAAAACGCATGACCACATTGACTTTTTCTCTGCAGTTGTGTGCTGAGCATTGCTGTCCCGTGACGCCTCAATATAGCTCAGGAGACATTGAGCGAGAAAATATAATACAGCGGAATTCCATGCATAAAATCGACAGCCGAATCAAGAACGTAGAGTCAATAGGGGTACTTCGATGACTAAAGCAGGCACGTAGGAAGAAGGAGGATGAGTAATTTCCAAGAGAAATGTGTTGTTCTTCCACAATCTCTTCCTATTAAAGGAGGCATTAACCAAAACATCCCCTTCTCCTATGTGCCGACAACCTGCATGCCAATATTCTATGCAGTTTGTGCGATATTCTTGCTCAATAATGAGCTGCGGGGCAGAGAGCTTCTTGGGAAAGCTTAGAATTATCACCTCGACCCGTCAGTGAACGCTAAAACACGGCTGACCGGGAACGCGGCGGCACGGCGCCAGCCGCCGCGTGGTGCTAGTGTGCGCGTAACTAACGGGGAGACTTCAACGCCTGGCGCCGTCCGGACAGGCTTCCCTTCAACCGCTCGCAGCAGGCTGCGTTTTCGTCCCAGATTTTTTTGATTGGTATCCTACGGCTTCAAACATGCCAGGGACCAATAAAATTTAGTAGTGAAGACGATTAAAAAAAATCAAAATTCGACGATACACCCTAATATTTATGTTGTTGCATGTGCAGGCTGTGGCATGGTGTTGCATGTGCTTTGCATGGTTTATGAGCCTAATGCTTGGTTCCCTGTTTTCCAGCAATGTTGTGAATAAAAGCCTTCATTGAGGTTCATCGTTCATTACAAGTTCATTAAGTTTTCTTTCAGTAGGCATGAAAAACACAAAATTACACATAAAATGCTGGCAAGTTCATGCTTTTATCTCTAGCACATCTTAAGTTATATAACAAAACATCTCAACACTCTCTTTTACAATGATGGGTCAATGGAGACTGATGTAGGTAAATGTGATGTCATCATAAAAAGGCTAAAACAAAGAAGGCAACATAATGACAAGTGACTAGCTTCAACATGGGTTTTTATTGAAGACAGAAGGGTACTTTTTGGTTCTGTTTACCTTATAATTAGCACATTTTCCAGGAGCGTAAACTGCACTACACGTAATTGGCTAAAAAGGTCATTAGTGGTGAATGAACCTGACTTGTTTTGTGACAGAATATGCAAAACATTTCAATAAATAAATTGTGTGCCCTTCCACACCCCAATTGTGAGCATTTGATGACCATTTCATGGAATAATATAGGTGTCCCTTAAAGGGACCCGGTAAATGTCAAGTTTAAGTCCTAAGAAGAGTTCATTGATAAATTTTTCATATTTATACATTATTTGACATCCTGAATCCAAAAATGATAGTCATATGTCTCGCAAATAAAAGAAAAAACATAATCAAACCTGACCTAACCTTACCTACTTACCTATAACCTACCAACCTACAACTTACAAACCTACCCTAACCTAACCTAACCTACAAACCTACCTACCTACAACCTAAAACCTACAAACCTACAACCTAACCTAACACCTAAAATTTTTGCTGTTTCATATTCGTATCAAAAGCGCCACAGTTGTAGTTAGGACCTAAACTTGACATATACCAGGGACCCTCCCACCTTAACATTAGTTTTGAGTTGAGATAGCCAAGTTTGCGGCCAGGCTCAGAAACCACCATTTATCCTGGTTGCAACCCCCGCAGCTTTATGGTGTTCAAGAAATTTCTTCCCTTTACTTGCAGGGTGGGACCAGCGTGGTCCCTATCTCTTAACCATTACGGGAATCTGATGACGTCATCAGGCTTTCGAACGTCCGTTAAATGTTTGACTAAAACGTTTTGTAGCACGCGGTGGTATATGCTGCTTTGCGCGCAACAAATGCCGCACTTTCAAATAAAGTCGCTAGGAACAGCGGAGATCCCAAAAAGTAAACAAAAGTAAAAGTCTAATATCTTGAAAACCGGTGAATATTTTTCGATGAAATTTGGTAGATATTCGTTTTTGCTCTTTCTGAACCGAGCGACATCACTTTCATGCCAATTCATTAACTTTTTTGAAGGTGGGAGGGTCCCTTTAACACCCCACATGTGGGTGCTAATGGACAGTGATGAAAAATAATAAAAAATAATATGCAGGTATAAATCTTAAAAACTTAAATGTGGCAGGCATGTAAAGCCCCAAATTTCACATAAAATGCTGACAATTTGATGCTGATTTATAGTAAGTGAAGTAGGTACCTACCTAGGTAGCAGGTCAGTAGGTAGTGGTAAGTTAAAGTACCTATTAGCCAAACAAGTATTTCATACACTGACACTGACACGGTCAGACTTTCAATTGCCAACCCGTCTGAATGCTATGCAGTCTATATATCAATATGGCCTTGATGCAGTCTGCATAGCATTCAGAAGAAAATTAATAGAAAACAAAACTGGCAACCTGACTCAGAAAATATCTATCTAAAAACGCACATTTCTACCTTCTACTCTACCTATATTGATTATGATACCTTATCGCGGGTTTGGCCTATCACATCGCGGGAATACGTAATCCATTATATACCTTGTGATATGTTTATTATATACCTTGTGTGATATTATATACCTTGTGATACTAGTGTTTTTATATACAAGTGTTTTTATATACCTTGACGTAATCCATGGCCTTAGCCACTGAACTCTATAAATGTAACGGAAGTTAGCAGGGATTCAGCAGGGGTTCAGCAGGGATTCAGCAGGGATCGACGGCCCCTACGATTTCGCTGAATTTTGGTGGAGAGGTGCAGAATGGTGTCCTCTATCGAAAATCCTAGTGCCAAAATGCGGGGAATCCATCAGGGGGGCCACAAATCCCAAAAAACAATATGCCCTCAGGGCACAATCGACGAACTTTGAAAACCCTACTTCTAGCCGTAAAAACAGCTAAAAATGCACGTCATTCGAAAGAGGACAAAATTTTACGTGCAACGGTACCAAATTTAGGGGGCTAGCGCCCCCTGAACCGAACAAAACAGCTTCAAATATATGGGCCCGGGAGTATGCCCTCGGGGCATAAATAAACGTTTTCAACAATTTCAGGCCTATAACATCGACAAAATCCAGCAATATGCACATCATTGGAAAGAGCGTAATTTCCCAAACAAAAAACCCAAGTAACATTTTTCGATGGGGCCCACCTGGGGCCCACGGGACCCAATTGAAATTTGGGGCCCAATGGGGCGGCCCCTACGATTTTCTTCAAAATTTGCACAGACACTCTCCTGGGCCCCCTCTTCAATCTGGCTGAAGAAACCTACCGGGGAATCCAAAGGAAGGGGCCCAAAGAGGGCCCCAAAGAGGCCCTTTCTAAGTATTGCCCCTAATTTCGCGACCAACCCCGGCAATATGCACATCATTGGAAAGAGCGTAATTTCCCAAACAAAAAACCCTTGTAACATTTTTCGATGGGGCCCACCTGGGGCCCACGGGACCCAATTGAAATTTGGGGCCCAATGGGGCGGCCCCTACGATTTTCTTCAAAATTTGCACAGACACTCTCCTGGGCCCCCTCTTCAATCTGGCTGAAGAAACCTACCGGGGAATCCAAAGGAAGGGGCCCAAAGAGGGCCCCAAAGAGGCCCTTTCTAAGTATTGCCCCTTATTTCGCGACCAACCCCGGCAATATGCACATCATTGGAAAGAGCGTAATTTCCCAAACAAAAAACCCAAGTAACATTTTTCGATGGGGCCCAAGTGGGGCCCACGGGACCCAATTGAAATTTGGGGCCCAATGGGGCGGCCCCTACGATTTTCTTCAAAATTTGCACAGACACTCTCCTGGGCCCCCTCTTCAATCTGGCTGAAGAAACCTACCGGGGAATCCAAAGGAAGGGGCCCAAAGAGGGCCCCAAAGAGGCCCTTTCTAAGTATTGCCCCTAATTTCGCAACCAATCCCGGCAATATGCACATCATTGGAAAGAGCGTAATTTCCCAAACAAAAAACCCAAGTAACATTTTTCGATGGAGCCCACCTGGGGCCCACGGGACCCAATTGAAATTTGGGGCCCAATGGGGCGGCCCCTACGATTTTCTTCAAAATTTGCACAGACACTCTCCTGGGCCCCCTCTTCAATCTGGCTGAAGAAACCTACCGGGGAATCCAAAGGAAGGGGCCCAAAGAGGGCCCCAAAGAGGCCCTTTCTAAGTATTGCCCCTAATTTCGCGACCAACCCCAACAATATGCACATCATTGGAAAGAGCGTAATTTTCCAAACAAAAAACCCAAGTAACATTTTTCGATGGGGCCCACCTGGGGCCCACGGGACCCAATTGAAATTTGGGGCCCAATAGGGCGGCCCCTACGATTTTCTTCAAAATTTGCACAGACACTCTCCTGGGCCCCCTCTTCAATCTGGCTGAAGAAACCTACCGGGGAATCCAAAGGAAGGGGCCCAAAGAGGGCCCCAAAGAGGCCCTTTCTAAGTATTGCCCCTAATTTCGCGACCAACCCCGGCAATATGCACATCATTGGAAAGAGCGTAATTTCCCAAACAAAAAACCCAAGTAACATTTTTCGATGGGGCCACCCTGGGGCCCACGGGACCCAATTGAAATTTGGGGCCCAATGGGGCGGCCCCTACGATTTTCTTCAAAATTTGCACAGACACTCTCCTGGGCCCCCTCTTCAATCTGGCTGAAGAAACCTACCGGGGAATCCAAAGGAAGGGGCCCAAAGAGGGCCCCAAAGAGGCCCTTTCTAAGTATTGCCCCTAATTTCGCGACCAACCCCGGCAATATGCACATCATTGGAAAGAGCGTAATTTCCCAAACAAAAAACCCAAGTAACATTTTTCGATGGGGCCCACCTGGGGCCCACGGGACCCAATTGAAATTTGGGGCCCAATGGGGCGGCCCCTACGATTTTCTTCAAAATTTGCACAGACACTCTCCTGGGCCCCCTCTTCAATCTGGCTGAAGAAACCTACCGGGGAATCCAAAGGAAGGGGCCCAAAGAGGGCCCCAAAGAGGCCCTTTCTAAGTATTGCCCCTTATTTCGCGACCAACCCCGGCAATATGCACATCATTGGAAAGAGCGTAATTTCCCAAACAAAAAACCCAAGTAACATTTTTCGATGGGGCCCAAGTGGGGCCCACGGGACCCAATTGAAATTTGGGGCCCAATGGGGCGGCCCCTACGATTTTCTTCAAAATTTGCACAGACACTCTCCTGGGCCCCCTCTTCAATCTGGCTGAAGAAACCTACCGGGGAATCCAAAGGAAGGGGCCCAAAGAGGGCCCCAAAGAGGCCCTTTCTAAGTATTGCCCCTAATTTCGCAACCAATCCCGGCAATATGCACATCATTGGAAAGAGCGTAATTTCCCAAACAAAAAACCCAAGTAACATTTTTCGATGGGGCCCACCTGGGGCCCACGGGACCCAATTGAAATTTGGGGCCCAATGGGGCGGCCCCTACGATTTTCTTCAAAATTTGCACAGACACTCTCCTGGGCCCCCTCTTCAATCTGGCTGAAGAAACCTACCGGGGAATCCAAAGGAAGGGGCCCAAAGAGGGCCCCAAAGAGGCCCTTTCTAAGTATTGCCCCTAATTTCGCGACCAACCCCGGCAATATGCACATCATTGGAAAGAGCGTAATTTCCCAAACAAAAAACCCAAGTAACATTTTTCGATGGGGCCCACCTGGGGCCCACGGGACCCAAATGAAATTTGGGGCCCAATGGGGCGGCCCCTACGATTTTCTTCAAAATTTGCACAGACACTCTCCTGGGCCCCCTCTTCAATCTGGCTGAAGAAACCTACCGGGGAATCCAAAGGAAGGGGCCCAAAGAGGGCCCCAAAGAGGCCCTTTCTAAGTATTGCCCCTAATTTCGCGACCAACCCCGGCAATATGCACATCATTGGAAAGAGCGTAATTTCCCAAACAAAAAACCCAAGTAACATTTTTCGATGGGGCCCACCTGGGGCCCACGGGACCCAATTGAAATTTGGGGCCCAATGGGGCGGCCCCTACGATTTTCTTCAAAATTTGCACAGACACTCTCCTGGGCCCCCTCTTCAATCTGGCTGAAGAAACCTACCGGGGAATCCAAAGGAAGGGGCCCAAAGAGGGCCCCAAAGAGGCCCTTTCTAAGTATTGCCCCTAATTTCGCGACCAACCCCGGCAATATGCACATCATTGGAAAGAGCGTAATTTCCCAAACAAAAAACCCAAGTAACATTTTTCGATGGGGCCCACCTGGGGCCCACGGGACCCAATTGAAATTTGGGGCCCAATGGGGCGGCCCCTACGATTTTCTTCAAAATTTGCACAGACACTCTCCTGGGCCCCCTCTTCAATCTGGCTGAAGAAACCTACCGGGGAATCCAAAGGAAGGGGCCCAAAGAGGGCCCCAAAGAGGCCCTTTCTAAGTATTGCCCCTAATTTCGCGACCAACCCCGGCAATATGCACATCATTGGAAAGAGCGTAATTTTCCAAACAAAAAACCCAAGTAACATTTTTCGATGGGGCCCACCTGGGGCCCACGGGACCCAATTGAAATTTGGGGCCCAATGGGGCGGCCCCTACGATTTTCTTCAAAATTTGCACAGACACTCTCCTGGGCCCCCTCTTCAATCTGGCTGAAGAAACCTACCGGGGAATCCAAAGGAAGGGGCCCAAAGAGGGCCCCAAAGAGGCCCTTTCTAAGTATTGCCCCTAATTTCGCGACCAACCCCGGCAATATGCACATCATTGGAAAGAGCGTAATTTCCCAAACAAAAAACCCAAGTAACATTTTTCGATGGGGCCACCCTGGGGCCCACGGGACCCAATTGAAATTTGGGGCCCAATGGGGCGGCCCCTACGATTTTCTTCAAAATTTGCACAGACACTCTCCTGGGCCCCCTCTTCAATCTGGCTGAAGAAACCTACCGGGGAATCCAAAGGAAGGGGCCCAAAGAGGGCCCCAAAGAGGCCCTTTCTAAGTATTGCCCCTAATTTCGCGACCTACCCCGGCAATATGCACATCATTGGAAAGAGCGTAATTTCCCAAACAAAAAACCCTAGTAACATTTTTCGATGGGGCCCACCTGGGGCCCACGGGACCCAATTGAAATTTGGGGCCCAATGGGGCGGCCCCTACGATTTTCTTCAAAATTTGCACAGACACTCTCCTGGGCCCCCTCTTCAATCTGGCTGAAGAAACCTACCGGGGAATCCAAAGGAAGGGGCCCAAAGAGGGCCCCAAAGAGGCCCTTTCTAAGTATTGCCCCTTATTTCGCGACCAACCCCGGCAATATGCACATCATTGGAAAGAGCGTAATTTCCCAAACAAAAAACCCAAGTAACATTTTTCGATGGGGCCCAAGTGGGGCCCACGGGACCCAATTGAAATTTGGGGCCCAATGGGGCGGCCCCTACGATTTTCTTCAAAATTTGCACAGACACTCTCCTGGGCCCCCTCTTCAATCTGGCTGAAGAAACCTA